AGCTGTAAAGAAAAATCAGATCGTGATCTTTGCAGGTAACGGATGAAACTAGAAAAGATCATATTGAAATATTGAATGACAACCTAGACCCAAAACAGCAAATGCCATCTCTCTCTCCCTCTCTCTCTCTCTCTCTCTCTCTCTCTCTCTCTCTCTCTCTCTCTCTCTCCTCTCTCTCTTTCCCCCCTCCCTCCCCTCCTCTCCTAGCTCCAAATCTTCAGATATCCAAATCCTCATCCCTCATCGAGGAAACTTCTCTCTGCAACAGGTGGAAGCCTCTTTCAGAAACTCATAACCAATCAAAATGCTTGTTATCCTGCTCCCAATGGACGCATCTACAAAATGAATGTGCACCTAAGGCTCAGGGAACACTGTGGAAAGGGGCAGAAAGATAGGAAGACCCAGAGGGCCAGGGAGTTTGCTGTGAGACTGTGGACTGTGTCTCCTAGGAATGTCTCCCAGGCATGACTGTCCAAATATGAGCCGCACCAGTAGATATGCCAACGTACATGGGAGGGAGGACCCATGAGACCTCAGCCCTACACGAAGAACTAGAGGCAACTAAGAAATGCTCTCGGTGGGAGAAATAATATTCCTCAGGGAAGAACACACCAATTGATTTCTCAATACCAAATAGTCAGCCCTGTAAACATGCATGCAAATAACATTATGCAGACTGAACAGGTTGTTTTTAGGAATATACATGTATATCCGTGTGTTGTGTGTGTGCATATAACAACTATTAATGAGAAAAGAGGCTCTGAATTTCAGAGCAAGGAGGGGTGTATGGGAGTGTTTGCATGGAGGACAGGGATGGGAAAATGGCCTAATTGTATTATCATCTCAAAAATAAATTAATAGTACACAATTCTTTGAATTAAAAAATGAAACTGTTTCAAAGTAAGTGATGCTTCTAGTATTTGTAGTGTTCAGCTCAAACCCTCTGACTAGTGATTTCTAGGAATAGTGATTCACTTCACAGTATAGCATTACCCAAGCTTGCCTTAGCTACGCAGATCTACAGAGCTTTAAAACTCAAATTGAGTAATTGCTGCTCTGCCTGAAAGGACCGTTTGATGACACACAGATGCAACCAAGGTGCTTCTTCTCCAAGTAAAACAGCCGAATGCAGCAGGCTTTTCCATAATAGATTCGTCTAGTGGAACTCAGAAACCTAGTTAATATAAGAATTTCCAACTTCAATGTGAAACCATCGGAGGCAGGCAGGGTTCACTGTTTGCCTAGGGCTATTCGCCCTCACATTTAAAAGATAACATAGTCTGCCATGTTGGCACATGCCTACAATCCCGGGGCTCTCGCAGTGAAGACCAGAAAACTGTAAGTGCAAGACCAGCCTGGCTTACCTAGTGAGACCTGCTCTGACACCACTCACTGGGGGAAATAGAAAAGAATAATACTCACACACAGCAGTGAGCTGACTGTGTCCTCTTCACAAGTAAAGCTCTGGAAAGACAAACTGGCCCACATGGAAGAATGGCCTGACGGAGTGTGCACGTCAGACACAGACATGGCCTGTCATGTTTATTCACTCAGTAGTGTTCATCAAGAACAACGAGAGAATAAGATGTGGGTTTGATTTGTATCTGAGGAAAGCAAAATAAGACCATTGAGTTGAAAATGAATAGGAAGTAGTTTTTATGTGTTTTTGCTTATATGGCAAGATAGTCTAGCAACAATGAGAAAACTGTAAATACTTAAGGTGAGAAGTAGGCATTGAAGGCAAGTTTTAAGTGTTTCTATTAAAATCTAATTTAATACTTGGCTGGTAATGAAGGCAGCTGGGAGTGCATTTTATTAAGTTTTATTTTCTTAAGTAAAATACCAGTAGATAAGGAATTGTTGTGGTTGGTTTTTTTTTTTTCCATGTAGAAAAGCACACTGAACAAAGTAAAAATAATGCGTGCTTCTTTGTGTTAGAACATACAGTTTTAATTGGGTCCAAGGTGTTTGTACGCATCGCTCCCCTTTGAATCACTCAGTTGTTGAGCTCTGGGGTCTCCAAGAATCGGCTCCTCTTGTTCTGATGTCCTTCTGTTTTTCAGAGCTGCCTGCCGGCTGGGAGAAGATTGAAGACCCTGTTTACGGTGTCTACTATGTAGAGTAAGTGCCCGTGGAACATCCACACGTTGTTCTCTGCACTCCTGGGCAGTTATGTTCATGATGTATTGTTACAAGGTTCAACGTAATAGTAATAATTTTATAATGAAAATATGAAGAACTTAGTGAATAAGTAAGTCATCCCTAAAGCTGAAGAAATTCAGAAAGGAAGTCAGTCCACGTGGCTTTTGTTAACTTCCACATCACCGAGACCCGGTGTGTGACGTGACGGGTGCTCAGTGAGTGTTAGTTGAAGGCCACGGTATGGGAGAGCCAATAAAAAAGCTCGTGCGCTCTCAGAGGGGCCTTGCTGCCCTACTTTCCCATGCCTAGGTCTAACTTCGCAGTAATTACTTATTTATTCTGCCATTCTAAACGGGTTAGACAAATCTGAATAATTTATGAAATATTACCAGGAGTAAGAAGGAAATGGAAAACTGGGATGAGATGCAGGACCTGTTATCTGTGCCTCTTGGCCTATCCCCAGGAGTCTCACCTCTTAGTGCCATCTCCTCACTAAGGACTTTATTCTAACATTGGGCGTGTCCTCTGTCATTTTACTAAAACCATTGATTAGCTGGATACTAAAAGGAAATTTTAAAAATAACCAAGAGGTAGAATACTGAAAACATATAAATCATATCTTTTCCTCTGAGAAAAAATGAAGAGATAACTAATACAGTCCCTTTGAACAAGACAAATGCCATATAAATTTTGTATCATCGTTATCCTTCCTGCCATGGTGAAGATAAAAGGCCTTCTTTCTCTTTCTCATGTTGCTGGCTATAAAAAGTCACTGTTTAATGCCCTTATAATAGGAGCACATTATGCAAAAATGCCAGGCCAAAGTAAGATGCCAGCATTGCATTGTAAAGCAATTATAGGAGTTCAGTATAGGAAGTGCCCTTAACCAGTGTGAGTCCTGCTTCCTTCTGCAGAAAGAGAAGTATCGTCATCAGGGACACAAGCAAAGCCATTTTTATGGACCCTAATAAAGTACATTTCCTGTGTGAGTTCTGAAGCTCTCTTATACAGATGAACAGAGAGTCTTCTGCCAGGTGAGGCCAGGCTTGCTTTGGTACTCAGCTGCCTTGTGCATTTAGTAAGAAAGAAAGCAGCTGGGCACCGCTTTGAAGGGAAAAGAAACTTGGTCCTCAGGGATAAGATGTTAAGTTACTCTGGTCTGGTTCTCTATGTCTTTTAATGCCCACAAGGAATCAAGAGGCAAATGTCCTTTTAATAAGAATTAAAGATAATCTGCCCACCCCATTTGATTAAACCCTTCTTTAAAAAAAAAAGTCTGAATTTCAAAAGCAATATTTGATGTTAGATAATAACATAATAGGTATGCCCCCAAGCTTCTAGTGAACTGTTATTTTGGCTTAAAAAGTATGTACATACACATATATGAAACCATCTGTATATGTATATTTATGTATACTTAGCATAAATACAAAATAAATAAGGCCATCACTCAAAAAACACACCTATGTGGGTGGGTAGGGGGTTGTGTGCGTGTGTGCGTACTTGCCCACTTGCCCTGACCTTATTAGTTACATAGTCATCTAAAACACCTAGGTCTTTGTCCCTGTGAACACATCACACATACTCAGTTCGGCTACCGTTGGAGTATTTTTGTCTACGGCCTGTAATTTCGGTCTTTCCTCTTGGTCAGTCAGTTAACATAGTTGACATGTTACTGGAGTTCTTTTAACTTTACTCTTAGATTTCTATATACCCTACTGTAAACCACTCAAGACTTCTACCATTGTGTGCCACAGATAATATCACAGCCCCAGTTAATCTTAATTTTCAGTAATTCCGAATGTACTTCTCGCTGGATTTAAGTACCTCCCCTCTCTGGTGATAGCTTGGAAATTTGGGTAGAGTCACTGGCTCAAATCTTAGAATTCAAAAGCAGCCATAGCTGAGTGAGCATGCTGGCTCATACTGTCAGAGCAAGTGAACCACTCAGAGGTACTTCCCTCCCCCATAAAATGATGTAGTGTCCCTAAATACATGGTTCGCTTCTGTGATTTCACCTACTCAAGGTCAACTGTTGGTTGCGGGGGAAAGTTACATGGGAAAGGTTAGAAGAAACTAAATCTTAAGTTTCAAGTTGAATGTCATTCTGGCATGATGAGCTCTCCATCCTTGCTGCTCCATAAAGATCCGGCCATGAAGCATCCCTTTGTCCAGTGCATTTCTACTTTATTATGCACTGCCTACCTATCAATGGCCATCTCAGTTACCAGGTCAGCTGCCACAGTGTCAAATGCTGTGTTCAAGTGTCCCTTATTTAACTCCATGGTGGACCCAGAGCACAAAGTGGCACAGGCAACTGGAACATGCTTAAGAGACAGGGCAGAAGTTCTTTAAGTGACTAAGGAAAGAAAAGAAATCACGTGCGGAGCCTGCTGGAGGCTGTGGTAAATCGTTGTTGTTGATCTTTTCCTGCAGTTGTTTTGTAGGTTAAACTTCACTGTAGGTGTGTGGAGGTACAGGGGAGAACCACAGTTCATACAGGACTAGATGTTACCCTGGGCTCCAGTATCCACTGGGGGTCTTGGAATATGTCCCCTATAAACAAGGAGTTTCTGCTGCATGAGTAAGACTACATTTTGCCTTAGGACATTTACTAGGAATTTCTAATACGATGCCTTCCCGGCTGACACCCTAGCTCTTAGTGCAGTAAGTAAGCAGCCAGTAATGGAAACCGTGTTTATTTCTTCTTATCTGCGTATCCACACCAGACCCTCTGTGTGGCTCCATTCCAACTGAAGGACTTGCTGAGCCTTTTGCCGCTGGAATGAATATTTCCTACCTGAAAACTGCTTTCCTTTCTTCCCAGCCACATCAACAGGAAGACGCAATATGAAAACCCAGTCCTAGAAGCCAAAAGGAAGAAACAGCTTGAGCAGCAGCAGCAGCAGCAACAACAGCAGCAGCAGCAGCAGCAGCAGCAGCAGCAGCCTCAGCCACCACAGCCAGAAGGTCAGCTTCTTTGCTGGAGGCTTTTGCCTGGCTGGGAATGTGGGGCGATTCCTAGGCACTGACACCCCCGTGTGGTCAGAGCTGGCCTTGATGACTGACTCCTCCTCCTCTAGCCTCCCTTCCCCCCACAGCACACCCCAGCACACTGCTGAAGGGGGCGCCCCTGCATAGGCACCCAGACCTCTCTGTGTTGCTTTAACAGGAGCTTAGCCTGCAGAGCTGAGTCTGACAGTGAGGGAATTTAGGGCCCCTGCAGCATTTGCATGGCAATCCTTGTCGAAATCCAGTGCCCCTTTAATGTTTTTACTTCAAGCGGAGTTTCTGGGCACTACACTCCTTTTTTTGGAAACCCTGCACAGAAGGATTAGAGCTGGTAATCCTGAGTGCTTCTAGGAAGTTAGGAATTCATATTCGTTGTAGAAATAAAAATAACCCAGGAGCAGAGTGCAACATTAAATTTCCCAATGCTTGCCCCATCCCGCTCTCAGATGTTCACTGTGAAGAAATTTTCTGGTATATACAAATTGGAAATATCAAAAACAAGATAATTTTGTGGGTAAATATATCCCAGGTGTATTTGAGCAACTTGTTGGGTTTTTTTTTTTTTCATTTTTTATTTCATAAACCTTCTTGAAGTTTTATTATAATTAACTCATAGTTTAAATAGCTGAATAATGTGTCATTTAGTGAGTGTTTCTACTAATATGTAACTATCCATTATTAATACTTATATTTTTCCCAATTTTTCATTATAACTTTTAAATGATAGGCTTTATACCCTCTATAATATATGAATATCAATTGTGTGGATATGAAGTATAACACTTTTGTTCCTACAGTACTGGATATAACTATATATCCGATATATATATTTAAATGTGTATGGTGGAGGAAATTGAACTCAGGGCCTCATGCTTGCCAAGCATCTACTCAACCATTGAGCTACACTCCTAGCCCTTAAACATAATCAAATATAGACCTTACACTAGAGGGATAGCCTCATGTTTCTGTAAATGGCCACATACAAGTGTTTTAGGATTAATGAACATGTAGTTCCCATAATAACTACCCACCTTTATAATATGAAAACAGCTACAGATAATATGTAAATATAGGCATATCTGTGGATCAGTAAAACTTTATGAACACTAATGTAAATCTCACAATTTTCACGTATCAGAAATACTCAGTTTTAAGCTTTTAAGAATGTGAAAGATGTCCGTGCCTTGGGTTTATACAAAAGTAGACGTTGAGCTCAATTTAGCTGGTAAGCCATGGTTTCCACCCTGCTACCCTTAACTGTGCAGTTTAGAGAGCGAGCCTCTTTGCCAGCTGAGAAGTTCTCTGCCTTAATCTCCTTTTAAATTTAAGAACAACTTGAATTTATTTTTCTTGATGATAAAACCTAATAGCCTCAGAAAATGTGTTCTGAGCCGTGGGTTCATGTTAGCTGAGGGAAGATGGCAGTACCTCTTATGGGTCATTCACTGCAAGGTGTTTCTGGGCCTCCAGTGGTCGTGAGCTTAGAGTTAGGATCTGGTGGTGGCTTCCCTTTGGGTCTCAGAGACAATAGAAGTTATGTTTCAGCAAAATGATGGCATGTCTTCATCCAACTCACCATGCTGGATGGGCACGGTAGCAGACCAGCCTACCCCTCATTGAGCCTGGAGAAGGTTCTTCCTCATACGGCTACCTTCAGGTGAATCCATACTTTAAAAATACCAAAACCAAAACCGTGTTTTCACTTAAGACCTTTAAAGTTAAATTTTTTCCACTTATGCCATATTTCTTTAGCAAAAGCTCAAACATGGGAGAGAAAGACCCTGCCATCTTTACCACCAATTAATGGCACAGCTGTTCTTAGACAAACCAGGAAACTGCCTCTCTTCTTTTTCGTAGAATGGACAGAAGATCATGCATCCCTTGTGCCCCCTGTTGCTCCTTCCCATCCCCAGAGCAATTCGGAGCCAGCCAGGGAAGCTCCACTTCAGGGTAATGTGGGTTTCTGATTGCATGATAGTTTGAGCTCTAGAGTTGCACGTTTTAATTTCTTCATTACATTGATTGAGAGTGTGTGTGTGTGTGTGTGTGTGTGTGTGTGCGCGCGTGTGCAAGCAGTACCCCTACACTAGTGCCACATGATACATGTGGAGGTCAAAGCACAAAGGAATTAGCTCTCTCTTCTATCATGTGGGGCCTAGGGATCAAACTCAGCTTGCCAGACTTGGCGTGAAGCACCTTTTGCCAAGCTATCTTGCCAGTCCTAAAGTCTCATTTTAAAAATGAGGTTTTGTAAGTCATAAGCCTCAGTGCTATTGACACTTCTGGCTAGGTAATTCTTTATAAAGGGGACTGTCTTAAACACTTACTTATAGGATGTTTGGAAATATCCCTAGCCACTCGACGTCAAGAGCTTATACCCACCTTCCACTGGTACCATGATGATCTGGAAGATGCCCAGACATTGTTAGATGCCCCTCAGGAACAGAACCATCCCAGAGTTGAAAATGAGTGATTCGGAGACCACAATATTTTTTAAATTGAGTGTTAGATATTTTGAGATTCCAGGCAACATACTTGCTTTTGAGAAGTTTTTTCTTCTGGTGTAAATAACTTTATCTTTAATGTCCTTTCCTGCTGCTGTATTTGAACTGGTATGTCTTACATGCATTCATGGTGTAAACCCTTAAAAAGGATCATTCCTAAATTGGGTTCTTGAGCCTTGCTATAGTCAGTCCTTTTTACTCCTCAGTGATGGAAGAGAGGCAGCATGTTTGGGTTGTTTTTTGTTTTGTTTTGGTTTTTGGTTTTTTTTTTTTTTTCTGTCCAAACAAGAAAATTAGACATACGTTGGATAGTGTTGTAGAATTATGGAATGCTGTGATACAGAACCATTACACCCGTGGCAAGTTGTCTCTGGTAGCTGATGTCATCATTAGAGCATTATTAATATCTTTGAACACACAAATGCATTTTACTATGATGATGGGTTCCTAAAGAAAGACTGCATGCGGTCTATCTGGCATGTTAAAGAATGCCACCTTTGTTGTAGCGTCCTTAGCATTTCTTGGAATATAAAATTCCTTCTTTGGCTCGTGTCCTGTTGCTTCAGCTCTCTCATAGTCAGAGAGCTGTACCAGCCTCATTTGCCAGAACAGCCACTCTGGACCACTAGGAGAGTTCCATGGACTCTTCCCTCTGTGTCGCTGTCTCCTCCACCCACTCTTTTCTACTCTTCCTTCCTGTCGTTCACTCTTAGCCATCCTGTACTCATCATTTATAGAGCTTAACAGTGGAATTCGTCTTCACTTGTGTTATTTCATAGTACTTTCTTCACTAAGCTTTAAATCCATGGAGGCCTGAGCCCAGGAGTTTGGTGTTTATTTGTTTTGTTACTTCCCAATCAGGTAGAACACTACGTATGCTCTGCTGAAATTACAATATTATTGAGTGAAACAGTATGTATATATACATACACACACATGTATTTTTGTTGAGTGTTAGCTCATTTTCTTAAAAAGAATTGTCTTAGAGATGAACCACACTACAGATCGAAAGGTACAGGTCCTGGATGTCCCATGTGTGTAAAGCACCAACTAAGGCTACACATGCCATTTATCCGTATGCTTCCTGTCATTATCTCCTCGCTTTTTTCCATTTTGTTTGTTTAAGGCATGTTCTCACTATACAGCTCTGGCTGGTGTGGAACTACTGTATAGACTAGACTGGCCTCAAACTCACCGAGATCCTCCTGTCTGCCTCCTCTGTACTGATAGTAGAGGGCACATATTTGGACACCACTATGCCCAGAGTCTTTGGTGTCTCAGGCAGGTGCTCAGCTACTGAGCCATACTCCAGGCTTTTGGTTCCTTTTTTTTTTCAATCTACTTTAGTCCTGTTGAACTTAACAGTGGGCTGAGAAAGTCCGAGTCCACCAAACTCTCCACGGAAGTAACTGTTCTCATAGCCAATATCCAGGGTGGCCTTGGTGTTGATCCCCATCCCTCAGACATAGAGTCTTTGAGTATATCTGACACTGAAGGAACATATTAACACTGCTCTTGTTCTCTCCGAGCTGGCAGTGCCATTAACTTGAACTTAGACTTTAGTCTCATTGTTTATGACTGGGTTACCAGCCTGCTGCTTGCACGTCTTAGTTTTGCAAAGTATCTAGTTTTAATGGTAAATCAAGAAGCCATTTTGCCAACTTAGCTTGGTGGTTAATTTCTAGACCAGATTCTCCTGTGACTAACTTTACTTCCCAGCACCTGGTCATTTTTGTGGATGTGTTCTTGGATGAACTCTCCAGCTTCCAGATTGGGTTTGGGGAGGGATTTCTACAGCTTCCGCACCACACTGTACCCAAATCCCATCCCTATGATAACTGATTTATTGAACATATTACATACCAGGATTCCCCTCTAAGCCCTTCATATCCATGATCTATTTTGCTAATTCTTGATAACCGTTATGTGAAGTTGGTATCATCTCTGTCTCTCTTTAGATGTACAATACTCAAATAGAAAGAGAGGTTTATCACAAAGTAGTAGAATGTATATATAAATGCTGCTAGCATTAGAAATTAGTGAACTTATGGCTTATAACTTTTTATCATTCTACTTTTTACAGGGCACTTTATTTCATGAGTTAAGCTCTACTATTTAGTGCAGTGTCACTGGTTCGTTATTGTCACTTAGGTTTAAATTAAATGCAACTGAAAAAAAATAAAAATTGAATTTTTTTGGCCATTAGCCTCCTTTCGAGGCTTTGATATCTACTTACATGATGTAGGGGCTGCCATATAGGTCAGTGTAAATACACAGTATTTGCAGTGCTGCAGTAAGTGATGGTAGATAGCTACCAGTCTAGAAATCCAAGTACCAGAGACTAGAGTAGTTCTGACCTATCGGAGAACACTTAAAGGTAGTTCAAGGCCAGAGTTCTGACCCAGAAGATCCTCAGTCAGTGGGTAAGAACTAAATTGAATATGTTTTTAAAAGCCATTCAGATGAGTTTACAGATACACAACTGAGTCTTACAACTACCCCCAAGAAGTTAGTGTCTCAGTAGATGGGGTAGACCACAGCGCAGCAACCAAGAGTATCAAATGCCCCTGCTTGTGGGAGAACATAATTTCCAACGCACATTAACTCATGGCCCACCCATACCTAAAACATAATAAAATGTGCATTTAATACAAAATTCTGATGTTGTCTCTGTGGTTACAATTCAGATAAACTATGTGGTGCATTTTCACATGTTCTAACTTTGTCTATAATAGAAATGAAAGGTACCGATACCGGTCACTTTTCGTCAGAGTTCTCAGCATCTTAGGGAGTCTGTTCAATGTGCCCTTCCTTAGCATTTCATTCCTTCAACAGAAATTGTTGGAGCACCTCATACATATCAGACAGGACTCAGATTCTAAGCCCTGAATCTGCAAGTGAGTCTCCATGGAGCTTACATTCTCGTGAGTTTAATGCGCGTACAGTGCTCCTTCAGCATGGGCACAGGCAAGCAAGCTAGTCAGTGAGATGCGTACTGTGTTAAAGGAGACCATTCTAGGACAAAAAGAGAGCAGGAAAGGGGGCTGGAACTATTGCAGAGACCTTGCCCATTTTAATAACGTGGTCCAAGAAAGTCTCACTGGCAGTCGGCAGCTGTTGATGTCTCTGCATAACTGAAATGTGTGCACTTCAAGCCCTCTAGACTCCTTCAGCCTCTTCTCTAAGACCTCTAAGGCCATCTGACTTCCATATCCCAAAGTGACCTTCAGAGCCCTTCTCCCTGTCCTCAACTTTTCACCTGGTAATTAGCGGGGGAGCCGTCTCCCAGAAGTCTTCACTGGTGGTGCCATCCTTCTCCCCACACCTTGGCAGATGACTGTGCCTGGCAAATCCTGCTAAATCTTGCCTCTCTTGAACCACAGTTACAGGGCTGCCATTCACTGAGTTTCCAATAAGCCTTGGACTGCACTGGAGAGGAGGTTTGTGAGCAGACCTCTGACTACAGCCAACTTGAAGGAGCCTTCTTTGTAAGAGCCAGAGACTTTTAAAAATATGCAATTAAAATTTGTGTGTGTGCCCAGAGACCTTTTTAAGCCTTTTAGTTATAGCTAACCAAAAATAACTTTCCTAACTGGGTGCCAAGGCTGCTAAGTGCAGAGGCACAGGGTAACTTCTTTTTCTTCCTATTTAAAATATATATATATATATAAGAAATAGAGCAGATGAGGAGGTTGTAACAAGGGCAGGACCCAGCAAATGAAATTAGGAAAGAGGCAAATGGCCACTGCTTGGGATACCCTAAAAATCCCAAAGAGCTTCTTGGATGCAGAGAAGGACTTACTGAAGCCTGAATATGGCTTTGTGAGTTAGTTCTGAAATGCCACTTTTTAAAATTTATTTAATTTTTTTTTGAGATTGTCATACATGAGTATTGCATCTACATCATTTCCATTCAGCTCTCCTTGTTCCCTCCATTTCCTCCCATGCCCCCAACTACCCCTCAAATCCATGACCTCTTCTTTCCTTATTATTATTATTATTATTATTATTATTATTATTATTATTATTACATTTATATGCACACACATCGATATAGCCTATTGAGTCCATTTAGTGTCGTTTGTATATGTGTTTAAGTTTGACAATTTGGGATTAGATAATTTATCAGGAACTTGTACTTGAAGAACATTGATATCCCCCCCTCTCTCTCCCTCCCTCCCTCTCTCTCTCTCTCTTTCTCTGCAGCCATTGATTGCCTGTAGCCCTAGAAGTAGGCCTTGCAGAATTTCCTGTATCCAATTTGCATATTAGCTGGTGTTGTCAATATGTACATCTTGTTTAGGCAACCATGTTGTTGAGATTTCACGAGTCCAACTTTCTATCATAAACAGAGAGCACTATCCAGCATCAGGGTTCTTGGTCACCTGGCTCTTAAGATCTTTCTGCTCCTCCTCCCTGATGTTCACTGGGCCTTGGGTATAGAGGTTGTGTTATAGATGTATCTGTTGGGACTAGGAATCCCAAGGTCATTTAGTCTGCATTTTGATCAGTTGGTGTTCTTAGTGAGCAGAAAGAGCTGTGCTTATCTCTGGACATGAGGATAAGTATTTGGGTATTTAGAATACAGTTAGAAATCATATTGGTTCAGGAATACAGCAGTAGTAGGTTCTCCTCCAGGCCCTATGATGTAATCAGCCAGTAGGTAGTTGGCTCGGTGATAGCAGCAGGTACAGATTCCCTTCTATTGAATGTGTCTTGAGTCCAAAAAGACAGCTTATTCATTACCCACAAGAGAAAAGTGCCACTACTGCACCATTGGGGGTATCTTGCCAGACTGGCCATTGTTGTGGTTCATAGACTTTACAGCTGGGTAGGATTATTGAATACTTTGCTCCCTCGGCAGATTGCGTAGCACCTTCAAATACTTTGAAAGCCAGTCCTCAGGGAAGGCCCTTCCAGGTCAGTTCCAGCTCCATTCTTTGAAGTCCTGTGACCAAAGCATGTGTTGTCTTCAGCAATAGGGACCTACCTTAAAATTCTGGGAATCAGCCAAGATCAGTGCCAATAGTTTAGGGGCATCTCCTGTAATCTTCTGATCAACAGCTTGGAGAGAGATTCCCTGTGCCTGGCACTGGGGGTTTTATTCTATGGCTCTTATGAGGAGTATTATCACCCCCATGTAGTATAACTTCATTTAAGCTATGTGTATGTGCTTATGTATTCACAAACATATATATATATATTGTATATATATATATATATTGTGTGTATATATATATATATATATATATATATATATATAGTATACGTGGGGTTTTTTTGTTTTTGTTTTTTTGTTTTTCGAGACAGGGTTTCTCTGTGTAGCTTTGAGCCTTTCGTGGAACTCACTCTGTAGTCCAGGCCGGCCTCGAACTCACAGAGATCCACCTGCCTCTGCCTCCTGAGTGCTGGGATTAAAGGTGTGCGCCATCACTGCCCAGCTATATACGTGTTTTTAAGGAAGCTTATAAAATATATCTCTTTATGGCTTTACAAACATCCTCAGTGTTAATTATCTTTAAAATATATCTGGAGCTATAGCTCAGACTGATAGGTACTACCCCATGAGCATGAGTCCCTGAGTTTGGTCCCCAGAGCCCACAGGAAAATGCTAGACGTGGTGATGATACATACTTCTAATGGCAGCCCTAAGGGGCAGAGACGGAGGATCCCTGAAGCTCTGTGACCAGCCAGCTTAACCTAATTGTTGAGCTCCCCGCCAATGAGAGAACCTCTCTCAAAGGACCCAGACAGTTTTTCTGAGGATGAAACCTGAAGTTGTCTTCTGGCCCCCACACACATGTATACGCCTATGCATATACAGACATGCACATGAACATATACACATGCTTAAAAGCAGGAAAACCTTAGTATGAGTGAGCATTGCTTAGCTAAGTAATTCCTTTCCAGGAAAATGGCTGAATTTAAACCCATGTGGCTCTTGTAGGAACTAGTTTAGTTTGAGGATTTTTGTTTCAGCTTCTGCTTTTGCTGCTTTTTTAAATACTCTAAGCCAAATGCCCTAAGGTTTTTGTTGTTGTTGGTGGTGGTGGTGATAGTGGTGATGGTGTTATTGTTATTGTTGTTTAAAGCAATAAACCTTGGCAATGAATACATGTTAGCTATTTCTCAGAATGTTACAAGCTGCAGCAAATCAGACAAGTCCATTGACTTTGGAATTCCATTTGAAGTGATGACCGTTAATTTTCCAAACTGTGATACTACATTTTTGTCAAGCTACACTTGGTGACCTGATATTATCCATGGATTTTTGTTTGGAGCCTTTCATTTGGTTAAAAACTGAAGTTTCTGCTCCATTGGCCCTATGCTTAGAAGCCATGTCTTGTCGTAGCACATTATAGTAAACACTGCAAAACAGAAGGCTATGGCACAAAGAAAAGACCAGAAGCCTCCTTTAAGGAGGCTGCGGCAGCCCAGTGGCTGTGAAACCCTGTAGACTGAAATTCAGGGAGGATGTCACAATCCTGAGACTGGTTTTTGGTCCTCTTCTCTTTTCTTTTGGACCTGGAAGCTGACATGCCTGAGACAGAGCTGTACCTGAGAGAATGCCCAATGATTCTGACATACTAGGTTGGATTCCTACCCTGCACACCTGTAATCCAGCACTTGAGGAGTGGAGGGTCTGTATAAGAGGTTGGAAGCCAGCTTAGGCTACATGAAACCCTATCTTGAAAGAAAGAGGGGGAGGGAGGGAGGGAGGGA